GTTTTTTAGAGACAATGGTATCAGAAAACATCGGTTAATCTTCTTAATATAAATGCGAAAGTTTAAACGGATGTTTTTTTTATCTATATACTAGCTGTCGCCCGCGACTCCGTCCGCGCGAGATTAAAAATGAGATGTTGGCCGATTCTCAGACCTACTCAATATGCTCACAAAATTTCATAAGAATCGGTCAAACAGTTTCGGAGGAGTATGGGAACGAAAACTGTGACGCGAGAATTTTATATATAAGATAGAAAAGAAAGTCGTGTTAGTTACACTATTTATAACTCAAGAACGGCTTTACCGATATGGCTGAAAATAGGTGAGGAGGTAGCTTAGAGCCAGGAGACGGACATAGGATACTATTTAATCTTTTTTTTTCGAATTTATGCCTTGAAGAGCTGCTTTTTATTTAACTTATCTACATATTAAGTTTTTTTATATATCCACGCGGACGGAGTCGCGGGCAACAGCTTATTACGTATATACAGAAATGATTAAAAAATCTCATTCCAATTTGACATATAGAACAGAGCCTAGAACACATAGGCTATATATTACGTTTTTTTTAAATTCCACTCGGGCAATGTCGCGGGCGACAACTAGTATCATTATATATTAAGTTCTATTATAGTATTAAATAGTAATATCCTTACCAATAGCACATCTGGCTTTAGAAGCAGATTCGTGAGCTTTCTTCATTAAATTGTCGCGTTCGTTTTGCGCACCTCTTAGAGACGAGAAGTTTTTCTTGTCCAAGTCTTCGATAGGAGCTTCTACTATCTACAAGATATGTTTAAAATTACTACTTAATAACTTAACTTCAACTTAACACTTGCTAACGTTAAGTAGCAATAAAAACTTATAAAAATTCGAATTTAACACATTCAATGCCACTTCATATTTAAAATTTAAAACTGATTCTCTTTTTTGATATATTCAAACTCTTTGGTGAGCAATTTCAATGAAAAAAGGAAACAAACTGGCTGTTAAGAAAAAAGAAATAAAACTATCTGATCACAAGTTGACAGCTGAGACCACCGATCTCTATAAACGGACAGGCTATAAGAATTTGTATTTTGTGCCTATTTGCACCCTTTTAGCGCTGTTGGTACATAGATAGATTTAACTATCAAGTAACATCAAAAAGCGCGTTTAAATCTTAAGGAAGTGCAAAGATTGTCATTTCCAAGCAATCACCTTACCATTTACAGAGATTAATGGCTAAGACTTAGCCTTTTTACTAATTCATTTCTTTTTTTTAAAGTATTTTAGTTTTATGACTAATAAATCATATTTTTTGAAATAAAATAGTTAATAATTAGGTACTTACAGCGTATAATGCCTTATTATAATCCATGCAGTATTTCTTAGCCTGTTTGTAGCTGTCTATGGCTAACTTGGTGTTCTCGTGCATATCATGTTCAAGTTCCACCATATCCTTAGTGATGACTATAGGTGGGGGCTGCTGTGGTGGACACTCCTCAGTTTGAATTACTGTTACTGTTAGACAAGTATAATTTTAACTAGCTGTCGCCCGCGACTCAGTTCACACGGAATTAAAAAAAAAACAAGTAGCCTTTGTCTTCTTTCAGACTATGCTATCTATGCCAAATTTCGTCAAGATCCGTTTTTTAGCCGTTCCAGACATACCTAGTAACAAACATCCATCTATATATCTAAAATTACGCATTTATAATATTAGTAAGATGAGTGTTTCTATGTTGGGTTGGTTAATTCCATAGAATTAAAAAATTATTCCCATTAGACCGATTGATGGGCAGGCCCAATGGTAAACACTTCAAATATATAACATTCAAAATGAAAGCCTAATTTTGTAGACAAATATTGAGTTTTACCTTAAATGTTACTAACATATTAATAATAATAATTATAATAATAATAATAAGACATTTAATCTGTTCAAAAACATTACAACACTTATAACACAATGAAAAAGAGAAAAAAGAAAAAATCAAAAAAATTACAATGAAGCGTTGCAATGCAGAACAGATAGGGCCTTTGCTCAGCTGTATGTTTATTACCCCCGGGGGGGGGGGGCAAAAACACTGATATTCTGCAAAAGCCTTTACGCCCTAATTACTAATATTATAAATGCGAATATTTAAATGGATGGATGGATGGATGTATATTAGAAGGTATCTCTAAAACGGCTGCACAGATTTCTATGAAATTTGGCATAGATGTAGAACATAGTCTGGAAGAACACATAGACTACTAAGTTACTTTTTAATTCAGAATATCACAAAGATAGAAACAATTTTTCTGACCTATCAATTTTCTCACAATTTTCACAAAATATAAAAGAAAATAGAACAATTAACATGTATGGATTTATTCTTTTTACATATGTTATTGTTAGTTTCCGAGATGATCTGTCATATCAAAGATGAAGGGATCACATGTTTTGTACAGTTATGGTCTCAGAAACCAACAAATAATTCTATAATTATGACATCGTCATCATCAGCTCGTTATATGTCCCAACAGAGGGGCTCGGCGCCTACCCTAAGTTAAGGGTGATTAGGCCATAGTCAACCACGCTGGCCAAGTGCGGGTTGGTTTACTTCACACATATCTTTGAATTTCTTCTCAGATATGTGCAGTATCACGATGTTTTCTTTCATCATAAGAAAGTTGGATAAATGTTCATATATAAATTAGAAATCGAAAAACACATTGGTACATAGCTGGATTCAAACTCAGAACCTGCAGATTGCAAGTCAAGTGCTTGACCCCTGAGCTACCGTCACTCTTTTTATAATAATATAACATATAATAATAGAAAATAATATTTACCCTTTGTCTCAAGTTCTGGTTTCACTGGAGGTTTCTCTTGAACATACAATGGTTCGAATTTCGGAGGGGGCACTATTAAAAAGATTATGAATATTAAGGTGATTATGTTAAAAAATAAAACACATGCCTATAGGAATATTTAAAACAGGGCTCAAACAAATATTAATTAATATTAATCATATTAATCAAATTAATTAATTGATGATTAATTTTTAATTCATACCAAATGATGACTTTTTAGTGACATACATTGTTCGAAAAAGGAGCAAAAATTTAGTTTTTCAAATCATGAAAATTACAATGATGTTAAAAATTTGAAAAAAAAAATGATTGAAATGCATTTAATATGAAAACATTTTGTATTCATTTATGTATAGAATAAAATAAAAAAATTAGTTACTTACATTCATAATCTTTTTTAGCAAAATGTTCTGCCGCATCTTTTTCTAGATCCTGTTCAGATCTTTGCTGGAAATCGAGCGGAGACACACCTTCCTGAAAGTAATCAATATACAATCAACCTGCAGTAATTAGGAAACTGTCTTATCTATATTCCTATTATTAAGTAAATTTATCCCTAATTTTTATAATGAAGGAAAATATTGTGATGCTGAACATATCTGCAAAGATATTCAAAGATATGTGTGAAGTCAACCCGCACTGGGCTAACATTGACTTCGGCCTAGTCACCCCTAGCGGGGTAGGGTCTGAGCCGTTCTGTGGGGATTTATAGTGAGCTGATGTTTTAAAAACTACCATTTTGTGTATGTATCATCAAAATAATAATTAATTACCTTTCCAAACATAAAATTACTAATAGCAGTTGTCGCTCTACTGATTTGGTTTACTGTAGCCTTCCAATATGTTGTATTCTCCTGATAAACTAGAGCTATAAAGTCATTAGCCCATGGAGCGTTTGATTCTAACCAATTCCTAGCATCTGGACTGCTCCTGAAGTAAAAAAAATGTAAATTAATAACAAATGCAGTTCAGAATACTGTTTTAATATGATTTTTTACAAAAGAATTAATGTTGAACATGGATAAAGAAGAAATCTCTATAAGTGAGTCATTACCCACTCCCAACAGACAACTTCCATAAGTAAGAAACTTAGGTAAGAGAAGCTTTTTAAGTGAGAAAAATATGGTAGTAACTTGGACTCTAGCTTATCTAGGTCCTACAGCATTATATTACTAGTTTTTTTTTAAATTTACTTATATTTGTTTCAGTTCAGTTCTCAACAATAGTTAAATACCAGGATTGGAATCCATGACCACATGATTGAATGTTAATTCCCTTAATTTTAAGGTTATTTACATTTAACAAATATACATACTTAGCATAAACAACTGCTGCTCCTGTAAGAATTGTCGCTCCGATGGTAGTCCATAGAATCTTTCGGGCCTTCGGTGGTGCTTTGGGTGGTGGTGGACAGGCATCCTTGTCAAACTGAGCATACGTGCGGCGAGGCGCTCGCATTACAACGAGCGCTGTGCATGTTGCATCACCTATTTGCTTTCTCACCTGTAATTTTGTTTTTAATATTTCATTTACCTGTCCTTGTAAAATTTATAGGTTACTTATTACGAAAATGACATTACTCTAATGTTATGTAAGATACAACAATAACAAAGTTCATGTTTTGATTATCACGTTCATTTTTAATGAGATTTATTAATTATATTGCGAAGAAACTTAGATAAACCTTAAAATATTGCAAATATATGAACATAAACTTCGGTCAAAACATAAATAGTGATGATTTCTATCTGCATTATGGGGATATACTAAAGCTACTTTCAAAATATATTTTAGCTGATATCAGTACGAAAAGCAAGGAGGAACAATACGTACCAATATTAAATTTGGATTTGCTAAATGAGTCGTGAATTTATACATTTTCGGCACCAAACTTATTCCACTACGGCTGTCAACTTCCTGTCAAAGTTGCAAAACCTTTTGTCATTTTCTAACATCAACTGTCAAATTACAACGAACTCTTATTTGCCCAATATTTAGAAATAACAATTACCGTATAAAGACGTCAATTATCAATATTAAAATGCTGTGATTTAGATGTACGTACTTTTCATAATTATTGTTCTGTAAATACAGTACTTTAAATAATTAATAAACAATAAATTGTTCATTTTTCGTTGAAAATAAAGCGACTATTTTACATCTCAGGTCTTTGACCAATCTTTGAAATGACATTTGACATTTAGATTTCAAAGGGATTTGTTGTTGCTTTGGATTGGGAATTATGTAAAAGTCGCATTTATAATATTAGTAAGACTACCACCTCACTGAAGTCGTTTATATATTGGACTAAATGATGTTACGTTTTGCATTTTCAGGTAAATATGATAACAATAATTGAGCTTTTAATATAAAAATAATTTATAACCTCTAAATTGTTACTTCCAGCTTTTAGGGCAGTTCCCCTACGTCTCACTTACCCGAATGCTGGTAAAATCATTTATCAGAATGTAAGGAATTTCTCAGCTATTAATATAAGAAACCATTTTATTACTACTGCCCCAACTATCAAGGCAAGTTTAGTCAACAACAAAACAATATTAGATTTATCTTGTAATTTAAATCATGTGCCAGCAAGAACTGTGACTAAATTTAGTCTAAATAAAGGTAAAAGGAAAACTGTAAAACCAGCAGTGAAAAGGTTTTTTAGACTCCATTGGGGCGGTTGGATAAGAACCAAAATTGGTAGACACAAAAAATTATGGAGAAAATCACAGCCGCAGAAAAGAAGATTAAGACAGCATGTCTTCTGTAATTCCACACAAAGTACATTACTTGACAAAATGGTAACCAAGTTTTGGAAGAGACCTAAATATTATGTTGATGATCCTTACGCACCTTATCATACAAGAGAAGAATTTTATATAACTAGGAAAAAGCCTAGATGCTAAGGAGTACTAAGAGTATCTTTTGTAGTCATGTAATTCTTATCTTGATTTATTTAAAATAAACATAATAGTGTACATTTTATTTCATTTGTATATTTTTTACATGTCCATTGCCAGGGTCTATCACCAGCAATGTATTAGAAAAAATTAGAAGTGGGACTTTTCCTTTTTTTATTCTTAGCATATGAGCTAGAATAAAGATGACATACAAACTTGACTCCAAGAAAATATTGTAGGCTTCTGAGATAAAGATTTGAAAAGAACTTTATTAGCTTAAACAGTAATCAGTACAAAATGATGTAAAACATATTAAATCCCATTGATACAATTACAAAACATTGAGTTGGTCGTAGCCCAATCTAAAAAGCGAGCCATATCTGTCTGTGTGTTGTTGCCCTATTGTTGATTTTGAAATTGATGCCCTACTTGATTATTTTCTAAGGCTTTTTTTAGTGCTTTCATAGTGACTACATATACATTGATTATATAAAATACATTTTACTGTATAATTTCTTTTATTTTACACTTCATATTTGCATTTTTATGACGTTCTTAAACTTACTTTTAGCACTACTACTACTTATATGTTGCTAAATAAATTAAAATCTGTTTTATGCTATGAGTCTGATACTGTACTGTGGATGCTTAGCTTAACGTGATTTCCATTATGATATTGTAAATGAAATATTTCTGTGGTAAAAGTTTGGCTACTTCGTGTACAGAGTATTTTTACGTACTAAACTGTGTTTTACAAGCAAACACACGCAAAACTTTCAGTCGATTTAAATTTTTAGGTGCTATATTTGGTTCCATTTTAACTCTGATTTAGTTTCTAAACGAAATTAAAAATGTCAAGAGCAAACGAGAGTTATATGGTGATACCATATCTATGAAATTTGCTCAGAAATTAACATATTTTGCATCATTAAACCCATGGTTTATCTCCGATTCACTATTATGTTGTTAAATTAATGAAGACTTTAGGATTATAATTTAATTTAGTGACTAGTGACAGTTATTATTTTCGAAGATTATTACATGGAATTTAGAATATTTTCGTACGAAAACACAAAAAGTCCCTAAAATTTGGCAAAAATGTTTTTAAAATTCTCTGGATAAGGAAAACTAAAAATCATCTGACAACTAATGTGAATTTTCTTTTGAATAAACTTAATTTATTGTACATGCATTTACTAATTTATTAAGTCGATTTACCGAAAAACATACAATCAAAACAGATTCCTAAATGAGATAAAAAAAAATTGTTGCGTAACCTCTGTTATTTTGTTTTGATACTGCTCGAAAATTGATTGAAGTGCTTGTTGAAGGCTGACGTACCAATATGACTTCTATCTTAAAACGTGCGATAACGTCAATAAAAAGTCAGTTCGCTTTAAAGAATTTCATCAAAAAATCATCGGCATTTGAAGTAAATAGACACTTTTCCGTCGGTACAACAAAAAACATGAAACTCGTGCAATTTAGTTACAAAGATTGCCCTTGTGATATTCATGTAGGATATTTAATTGGTGATAATCTTGTTGAAGTTAATAAAGCCGATACTACGTTACCATATACACTCCTTGATATTTTAAGAACTGATTCTCTACATAAAGTGCGAAAGTAAGTTTTTATTATTTATATACAAATTCATTAATTTTTCTCAAATTTCTATCATCTAAAATTATAAAAATTCTTGTTACTGTTTTTTTACTAATATGTAAATATGGAGAGTTTATATCAGATAATGATGAAACTGAAAGTATCTAATATCGAAGGTTAGGTGATATTTTACTACTTGAGTCCATCGGATAATATTTGGTTTGCATGCAAAAGAATTCATTTTCCGATAGCTAAAATATATTTTATGAAATAGAGTAGTTATTGCACTAAAGCCAAGGGCCACAAAGGGTTGACTAAAAGACTAAAAGAAAATATTTTTATATATTATAAATCTAGTCTTTAAAACATAGTTCTTATCTATGTTATCATTATTTGTACCAAAGTCGTTGAGATTGAGGCTTCTATAAACATTGTTGGGATGTTTGTTGAACATTGTATTAAAATTATGCAAATGGACTTACTCTCTTATTACATATTGTACTTATTAAACAATTTTTTTAACATTAATATTGTTCACAAAGCTTTTAGAAAATCTTATGAAATAAATCAATGTTCCATATCTTATTATTTATTAAAGTTTTGTCATTATTACTTTTGTGACAGTAAAAAAAGTGTCATAAAATAATCTCAGTAAATTACTTGAAAATTTAAGATATGGATATATATCTTCTATTCCATTTGCATAGACGAAAATAAAAATTTAAAGAGAAAATAACGGAAAATGGAATTAGGAATATAAATAATATAGAGAAAAATCCTAAATCAGTTTATTTGATCTCTTTCAAACTAATCCATTTAAAATATATTTTTTTAATTCAAGGATAGTATGTACGAATCCAGATCCGATACCCTTGAATTCAGTGAACTTAGTTGCTCCCATACATGGTATGGACAAAGTGCTCTGTGTTGGTCTAAACTACAGAGACCATTGCGAGGAACAGAACCTAACCCCACCTGAAGTGCCAATCATCTTCAGTAAATTCTCGAGTACCGTTATCGGACCAGGTGCTGCAGTCCGTCTTCGTGATTCTACTCAGGTACATTTTTATATTCTAAAGTACAAAATACTTAATATATTATATGCTTTTATGTGATGTCTTCTTGCATGCTGCATATATTTCAGTGGTTTGGTAATGGGGGTTGCTCATTAATGACGTGATTTTTAAAGCAACTTTTTGACTACCAACCAACTCTCCCTCTGTTAATATATGGTGGGGTTTTAGATTGACCTTTCTAGATCTAAAATCACTTTATTTTAGTATAAATTAATAATAAAGTCCTGGGATAAAAAGTACACGTGATATTTTAGACGCCCCTCCCTTCCCGTGATTTTTCGTGATTTTTTTCGCAATTCCTCCCCCCTTTTTCGAGCTTCATGTGATTAATTATCCCTTGCTATACAAATACAATATTGTTGAAGACTATATTACAACGTAACAATACCAATATTTGTTATGTCGTTATATTTGTTGTAGTTTTTGGTGAGCTGATGTAAGGAATAGTTAAAAAAAATAGGTAACAAAAAAATAACAACAGGTTATGTGCAAAGAATTATTGAAATATTAAGCCTTTTGGTTTCTATGATTTTTGTGAAGTTTTTATTATAACCTTTTTGATCTTGACATCGGCGTTCGCTTTCTGAAAAAAAAAATTATGACTTTTTACTTGAAATTTTAAAAATTAATGCCATCTATTATTAAAAAATGAGAGTTTTTTTAATTATTAATTATTTTTAAGGCGTAAACTAAATACGTAATCGCAATGAAAATATCTCGTGAATCACAGAGCGATGTGACATCAGTAGCAGACAAATTGGGGTCAATTATTGGAGCAAATTAAGCTGGCAGCTCATAATGCGCGTAGGTGGAAGACAGATGAAATAATTTACATTATAAATGGACAGGATACTAGCCATATAATGTCGAGCTTTTAAAAGAATAAGATATTTTAGTCGCCACATTAGCTATTTAGAATAAGTACAGTCTTGCTTTTGTGTGCTTTCAATTGAAAATCTTAATTTATATTTTTCTCACATTATACAATATAGTTATTTTTTTGATTCTACAATTACGCGTTGTCTCGGAATAAAATTACAACATTTTCGATAGGAACAACAATATTGCAATGACCGATTTTATTTAAAATATATTTAACCGTTAGTTTCTGAGACCAAAATTCATCCCTGTCATTTTCTTCCACAAGAGATAAATATATGTTTTAAACGGAGATATTGGTCTCAGAAATCCACGTACGCTGGACCAGCTACGCTACAACTTGTGCTTGTAACTCAAGGGGTAAGACATCTCTGGAGTCCTCCATCTTCTTTAGCCATATCACAGCCATAGGAATAGGCCTCTCCCAAAGATCGCCATGATGATCAGTCCCGCTTCCCGCATCCAGGATACTCCTGCATCCCGCTCCAGAATACTCCCGCAATATTCACCAGATCCATCGATCCGTTTTGTGGGATACCCAGGCTCCATCTTACTTCATACTCATTATAAATGCGAATGTTTGGACGAAGATATCTCCAGAACGACTGCATAGTTCTCGCTGAAATTTGGCATAGATGTAGAACATGGTCTGCAACAACACATAGACTACAAATTAGTTAAAAATATCACTATTTTTAGATGTGTTTAATTTTTTTTCCAGCAAGTGGATTGGGAAGTAGAACTAGCCGTTGTTATAGGCAAGACTGCGAGTAACGTGAAAGCTGATGAGGCGTATGACTATGTATTAGGTTACACAGTCGCACAAGACATCAGCGCGAGGGACTGGCAGAAAGCTAAGAACGGTGGACAGTTCCTATTGGGCAAGGTTTGTAGAGTTTGGCTTAGGTTTTAATTGCTAAAATATTAATACAAAACATATTAAATCGACTTCAAAAAAGGTAGGTAGTTAAAGATTTTTATGTTACCTCAAAACTACGCTTTTGAATCGAATTTGCTTTATCGTATACATCTTTAGGTAAAGGTAATTTGCGGGTACATGAGATATTCAAATATTTGTGGTCCTATTTAGGATTTAAAATTGGGGTAGATGAAAAGATTCAAATAGTAATTTTGTTACTTTAAATAAATCTGTAATAAATGATCGTAGCAACAAAATTAAATCGACCTTGATCTTAACATAGTTGTATAACATTGCTAAATCTTATCTTTGGACGCAATATATTTCAAGTGTGCGCACGATTTGTGACATTCTTATCGAATAACATGTCTTATAATGCAGTTTTATTATTCGTGACAGTTTTGAAATATTCCATACGATTTATCTTTCTAATCGACAGTGATGAACCAGATACAACTATCTCCCTAAAGTTATCAGAATTGTTCAGAAAATGTATCTTTATATTTGAATTTTTAGTTTTTTAAATGATCAAACGAAGATACAAGAACCTTTTTATCTTACATTTTATTATTTACTAGCTGTCGCCCGCGAGTCCGTTCGAGTGGATATATAGAAAAGCTTAATATAGATAAGTTAAATAAAAAGCAGCTCTTCAAGGCATAAATTCGAAAAAAAATGAATAAATCCTATGTCCGTCTCCTGGCTCTAAGTTACCTCCTCACCAATTTTCAACCATATCGGTAAAGCCGTTCTTGAGTTATAAATAGTGTAACTAACACGATTTTCTTTTATATATATAGATGACTAAAAAAAAATCTACATTAATTATTGCACAATAACTCTATCATAATCAGCTTAGGCATTAATTATATGATCTACATCTATACTCTGTGACGTATCATCTTTAATCTATGACAGTCTATGGACACGTTCTGTCCGATCGGCCCGTGCATCACAACTCAGGGATCTATTGGAGACCCGGAGAACCTCACCATACAATGTAGCGTCAACGGCGAACAGAAGCAGTGCAGCAAAACCGACCAGCTGATACATAAGATACCTGATATCATAGAAAGACTATCAAGGTTAGTACACGCGAAATTGTGTTTTAACACTGTTGGCAAAAAGTTCAGTTTTCAGTAAGTAGAAGTCACAACTTTCCCTTTTTTTTCGTCTACCATCTCTTTCTTACATAAATGTATTGGAATGTAATCAAATTATAGATCGACAAGGCTATCTGAATGGTGGGCATAAGTCAAACTAAATTATGACAGCTCATTAACGCCCTCTTGCCAATCTCCAAAAATGTCACAAGATCCATTTTGTACTAAAGCTGTCATGTCATTTTCTATGTCTAAGTAGGTTTTATATACTGACAGAACCAACTCACCGGTTCCAGATATTCTTTTGTTACTATACTTCTACTTGTGCAAGGAGGTTGTCAAATTTGACGTCGGAACTGCTTTCGTGTCGGCTAATTTGCCTAAAATAATATTTTAAAAAATGAAGGAAACAAATCCTTAGTTCTAATAATTTTATTTACACATTCATTAACTGGTGAACAAGAGAATTTTTAATAGAATTTATTTCTGGATGAAACTGTTGTTGGTCCTTCGACGATTTTCCTCTCGTGTTATTTGCCTTGATTAATCCAAATCTTACAGTGTAATGACTCTTCTTCCCGGGGACATCATACTAACAGGAACCCCCGGGGGGGTGGGTATGTACCGCAACCCCCCAGAATACCTCAAGCCTGGTGACGTCATCTGCAGTGAGATAGAAAACATCGGCGTCCTTGTCACCAAAGTCGAAAAGTTCTAACTGAATTCAAAAGGTGTGATACTTTTTTACGAACACTATTACTATCTCTTTTTCTTTTATATACAATGAGAAGGATAGTAATATTGTAATAAAAGGGTTACCATAGTGATTTCGCTGCAACAGAAATATAATGTTATATACAAGTGTTACATATGTAATTATAAATATATAAATTATGCTACATCTTTATAACACAAGATCGTCCCATTTTGGACGTCAATTGTGTACAAATTTGTTGATTGTAACAATTTAAAAAAATAAATGCATTAATAAAAATAAGGTTGAGTTTTTATTTTACGTTAGATGAACAACTGCTCGTTTCACTGCCTTATCTCATAAAAAAATAGTTTATATTTGCCTTAATAGACTTAACAGACAGTATCAGATACTTATGGCAAAATATAAATATGAAGAAGGAAAAGGAACTAATTAAAATGGCTGCAAAAAAAAAAGATTTGTCAAGAAAACAAAATATCAAAGGTTTTTCTCAGTCGCTATATATGAAAGCGCCTGATTATTCTAAACAGCAATTTTTTTACTAAACGTCAAAATGTTCATGATTTTAAAAAGGTTTTGAAAATTTATTAAATTCGTGGGAGGTAGTTGAGATATCAATCATGATTACGTCGTGATTTCATTTGAAAATTGTGTCTTCAATTGGCTTGTCAGGAATTATTGTGCCTAAGGGTAAGTAAATTCTGTATTTTACGTTTATTTTTATAACTTAATGCTAATTACAGAAATATTCTATTTCTTAATTCTACATGATATTTGTTTTATAATTATATTTTGGATGTAATTATATTGATTGGACCGATAATATTAAAAACAAAATAAATATTTGTTAAATGTACAAAAGTTAGGTAATTGACATGAAGTTTTAAAATAAACGAGTTGTCAAGATTTAAAATTCGAACAACTAAATTGTTGAGAGTAGGTTGTTCAAATAGTGAGCTTTGAACGATGATTGGTGAATGGGACTCGCAATTGAGCCAATCGGCGTCTTCCGTTAGCTCACAGGAAGAAGCATTTTGCCGCGCGCGCGACTTCTCTTTTCATAGACTATTAAATTTAATGGGTAGGGGAGTTTTATTGAGTTAAGTGGTCTATACGGGCTACGTGACAATTGTAACTTGACCTCCCGCGCTTTTAGTGTCCATATAAATTGATACCGCGTTGTGACACTTCGCACGTCGTATTATTTGGTCGCTATGCCTTGTTGTAAAATTGTCTATGCAACGGATATTCATTGTTATGAATAGATTTCGAGCAATTTAATGTTGAGAATATTGGTATGAGATATTGGATGCAATTTTTCAATTAATTTAATAGTACAGGCCACTAATAAACACCCTTCGATATCAATTTATAAGAAATCTGAATGCATATTGTTAAGGTTTTATGCATAGATTATTGAAAAATTGCACCCAATAACTGTTACAATTGTAAAATTACACCAATTTACAATGTGGCGTTGTGTTGTTGACAATATGGCGATGCCACATTGTGTGAACTAAAAAAATAATTCATCAATTTGTCCTTATCCCTACGTAGGGTCAGGACAATATGTACTACTCCTCCATACTTTGTATCAGCGCATTTACTGGCGTGAGAATCATGCGAACCAGTCTCAAAAAATCTCCTCATTAATTTTGTATAGAGTAATCACAATTAAACACTGGTTATATCTTGGTGGTGAGTCAATTTTAATGAAATGCAATCGGCAAGTCGATAAATGTACCAAATAAATTGATACCGCGATCTAGTAATACGGTCCGCCATCTAGTGACATAATATTATAATTTAAATTGTCAAAACATTTGACAGCTGTCATATCTGAATTTCCACAGATATGACAACTTCCATTGCGGAGATCGATGTGATTTTGTTGAATATTAGATCATCTTATCGAAAATTACGTCACAATCGCGTGAAAGAACTTATAAAAATATACTTAGCCGCTTCTTACACGAGACAACGTTAATATTATTATATAAACTAACATTGGAACCTTGCGTGCGTGCTCTCCGTAAACACAACGTTAAATCGTCGACGCGTCGTCTAGTCAGTACGGACATAGCAACTACATAGTACTGTATAGATAGGTTCCAACATCTTGAAAATCGCAACGACTTTACACGACGATCTTGACAACCAGTCTACGATGACATAAAATTGTCGGCAACGTTCGTTGTTTCTTTGCTACCCATACCAATATTAGTTTTAACAATTTCTGTTGCCTTATGTACATACGAAGGGCCTTAGAGTTATAATTTGTTTCAGATTTATTTATAGAGACGTCATGTATTAACTTTGCAAGCATTTAAACAGAGCGGTAATGACCCTTTATCAGCTGGGAATGATAAATTGTACATTTACATAAACATTATAAAAATATATGAAATTGTCTTTTTGCTTGTCCTTAAATTGTAACCACGTGGAAAAATAGTACAACATAACAATTATCATCATCATCTTCAGCTCACTATACGTCCCCACCGAGGAGCTCGGAGCCTACCCTAAGTTAAGGTGATTAGGCCATAGTCGACCACGCTGGCCAAGTGCGGGTTGCTTGACTTCACACATATCTTTGAATTTCTTCTCAGATATGTGCAGGTTGCATCACGATGTTTTCCTTAACCGTAAGAACGTGGGATAAAAGTACATATGTAAATCAGAAATCGAAAAACACATTGGTACATGGCGGGATTCGAACCCAGGACCCGCAGATTGCAAGTCAAGTGCTTGATCCCTGAGCCACCGACGCTCTCTCCTGAGCCACCGACGCTCTCTGTTTACAATACAACAATTATACTTATACTAATTTAATAAATGCAAATGTTGGGATGGATGTTTGTTATTACGTATCTCTAAAACGACTTAACGAAACTCGTTTCAATTTGGCATAAATACACATATTCTGGAAGAACACATAGCCTACTAATTAAGTTTTATTCAACTCCGCGCGAACGGAATCGCGGGCAACAGCTATTCGTTTATAAACTGCAAAGTTCACTCACAACGTGCTAGTATGAAAACAAATTATTATCTATGCTTTCAAAGAGAAAGACAGAGATGGCAGTATGATTTTGTACTCCTCGGGAGTGGATTTGAAATGACGTCACACTTAAAAGCTCTGCTATGTCTGTTTTACTCAAAGAGAACGAAAGGGATGGCTATATTGTATTACAAATTTCACAGATGAATGTTACTGACTAAGGTTAGTTTCTCTTCTGTTCTTCTTTTTTCTTCTAGCAGTAGAACCACTAAACCCTCATTGATAAGCACTTAAGCAGCAGGAGATGTATAAATTACTCCTGCGGCACTAGTACTTAGTAACAAGATTTAGTTCTCTTCTTTCTTCTGTTTTCTCTTCTTGTCTTCTTAAATATAACTATGAGCATACATATTTACATATAAACAGATAGTTTCAAACAAATTTGATTAGTTATATACAATTTTCTAACCGTGGGTTTTAGAGACAAAGTTCCTCGTTCAAAAAATATTGCTATCTCTGTTTTGTCAACGATAATAAAAGGGATGAAGATATATAGTTTTGGTCTCAGAAATCAACAGTTAGTCAGGCATTGGAAATTACCATAGGTAATTTAAAAGGTTACGTATATGGCAACACTATCAGTTTGAACAAATCAAAGATGGATTCTAGTTTTATTCCATTCATGTTTTATGTAATTACGATATACTCTGCTATTTATTACTTTGTTTTCGTTTTGCTTATCTTATTATTACGAATTTATTAAATAATCAACTTTAAAAATGATATTTATATAATCGATTTTTATAGCAACTATCATATGAATAAGGTAACATATTATCGGTTGAGCACTCAACTTGTGTACATACTGGGTTCAAATACCGCCGTACCAATGTGTTTTTCGATTTACATATTATTTATCCGACGTTTTTACGTTGAAGGAAAAAATCGTGATGCAACCTGCACATATCTGAGAAGAAATTTCAAAGATATGTGTGAAATTAATCCGCACTGGGACAGCATTGACTATGGCCTAGTGCCCTAACTTAGGCTAGGCTCCGAGCCCCTCAGTAGTGACTTGTAGTGAGTTGAAGATTACTAGTAACTAAACCGTATTGAGATTGTCTGGATAAGTAATTATTTACGTCATCACAAATTGCTGTAGTTGTTCTTAATGTGCGTTTTGACTGCAAAAACACATTAATAATCATTCTGTCATAAATCTATAAAAATATAGTTATCTCATTTATTCTAATTGACAAAAGAGAGACAACAATACTCACAGTAAAACATTCTTAATCATATTTAAGAGTGAAAATCTGTCGTAATTCTTTTTATTAAAACAATAACGGCAACAGAAGTGAGATAATACGTATTTATACGTGTGTTTTAACACTGAAAACCCACAATAATATACGTAAAAAATTCCAGCTTCAAAATGTTCCATGTCCCTTATGTGCAGCCATCTTCAGTTTAATTGATCAATTGGTGGCATCCGCAGAGTTAACAACAGTTAGAACTGACAATATCCGGTACAATCACTACGAGTTATTTCTACAAGCTTAATTCGTTAAACTGCAAGAGTCGAGATTTAAATGTCTCTCTTGTTATTGATTCGTTAGACATTGTTATCTGTGATTTGAAATAACATCTTACTAATATTATAAACGCGAATGAATGTACGGATGTTCGCTAGAAGGTATCTCCGAACGAGTTCATGGATTTCGATTAAATTTAACATAGATGTAGAACATAGCCTGGAAGAACACATAGGCTACTAAGTTTTTTTTTAATTTTGTGCAGACGGAGTCGCGGGCGAGAGCTAGTTTAATATAAGTTTGCAGTACTTTATTAGTTAGTATAGTCAAGATCAATAGGCTTACGTTATAGCCATTTTATACATTGGTACTTACACGCGAATTGAGTGTAATTATCAATGATGAAAAGAAAGATTTATTATACAACTATTGTATTATAAAAAAAATATACTGTTAATATTTCTAGCAAAGATGCTGGCTTTTATTTTAAGTTCCTTTTATCAGTTACGTGTTTTAATTTAAAGTACCTGGATGACCGGAATTTTTTTTAAAATTGTGTTTTTTGGAAATTATATTTAAGTACGAATTACTATGAAATTAAATATGAATTTTTCGATCTTACCGATAGAAAAAGTTAAGTTTATGTTTAAGTTGATTATCGATAAAACACGAGTAAAATGACGTTTTCTAAAAATGATAGCTAGATCGATTTATTGCCCCCGAAACACCCTATATACTAAATTTTA